CGGCCTGCGGGGATTTATTCCGGCATTTTTGGTTGTATTGCCGGAGGTGTTCCAGCAGCGAGGCTGTAGGTCTGGCCTGCTGCAACTGTGTTTGAGGCCATTCATGTTATTTCCCCCGAAAGAAAACAAATCGTGCCTTCCGTTCCCGTGTGTGCGAGTATCATCAACGTAATCCTCATTCTCTTGATCTGATACCCTGCTTTTTTACCCCCCGGTTTCTTTTTAGGTAAAAATGAAGACCAGAAAAGGAGGGAGATTTAAATCTTCCTTTAAATTGAGACAAAAAGGCATTGAAGTAATAGGAAAATGGAAAACTGTGCAAATCGACCCCAATCTATTTGCTGATGAGGAGTTCAGAGATATAGTGTGCTTGGAGGAGCTCACAGAGTACAAGCTAGTAGGTTCTTCCAAAGTGGGGAAAATAAAAGAGAAGAAGAGAAAGGCTGAGAGTGTTTCCGAAGAAGGCAATGAGGAGGACGAAGAACCTGTTGTCCCTCCCAAAAAGAAAAAGAAAAACAAAGATTTGAGAAGCAAGCCAGATAAAAGCGATGATCCTAATGCAACAGAAATTGATGTGCAGGTTGATAAAGAGGCAAAGTATAATAAAATAATCGAAGTGGCAAATTGTGAGGAACGTGGGCATGCGGCTGAGATCACTTTGAGCACAAAAAATGCTCCAAAGAAAAAGAAAAATAAGGTAGCTAAAAATAAGGTTCCTCAAGCTCAAGAAGCTCTTCCATCAGTAACTGCTTCTAAAAAAGTTAAAAACTGGACAACAGAAGTTTTATCTGCCTCAACTGATCACAAAGCTGATGTGTCTGCATGGAAGGACCTGTTTGTACCTGAACCAGTGTTGCGGGCCCTGAGCTACCTGGGGTTTAGTGCTCCAACTGCCATTCAAGCCTTAGCCTTGCCTCCTGCCATCCGGGATAATATGGATGTTCTTGGTGCTGCAGAAACAGGTACAAATCTGTTAAACCGGTTGTATATAGCTGGGAGCTTCCTATCTCCCCTCTTTAAATGCAGGTTATCGTTATGAGATTTTGTGCATGGCAGAAACAAGCTTTTCTATATATAAATGCTGCATCTTCTGCATATCCAACATATTAATAATTATTCATTGTGAAGTGTTAAAACTTTGTAGCTTAACAAAGACGGGACATTCCATCTTTACAAAGTACAGTGTGCAAAGCTTTGAAGTCTCAATGGGTTTTTGTGCTTTTGACAGAAGTATCTTTTTCTGTTGTTTCCCAATTTGTTTCCTATTTTGGGAACAGTCAATACACTGCAAAGGGCAGAATTACTGAAACAGAGTCATGTTCCAACAGCCTAACTTCTGTGGATGTCCCATGCCAAGGCAAAGCAGAGAGCCAGGTTCCTCTGAAGATGATTCAGTACTAGCTTGGAGTGGTAAATAAATACTAGGCATGGTGTTAGGCATTGTGAATATGGCCTTTGTCGTGGCAAAACAGGCCCACCCTGTGCCCTGTCTCTGGGCTTGGCCTATATGTTGTCACCTGCCCTTCTCGCTGCTTGTGCTTGACGTGTTACGTTGATCTGTTAACTGGAGAGGTACTGTCTCTTGTCTAGCTTGTGATCAGCTCATGCCTTTGTCTTTGAGCATCACTAGCCTTTATGACATTTCTTAGAGCTTCTGTTTTCCTTAAACAATGCCATGAAATCTCAGACCACTGTTCCCCCTCTAACTTCTTTTGCTGCTCATGTGTGACAATTGACTCACTGCACACTGGGCCATGAATCTGCTTTTCGGACAACACTCATACATTTGAATCTTTGTCTTCTTTAGCAGTGCAACATTTTTTCCCCATAAAAACTAAAAATAGGAAGCACAGTTGGAAGCTGCCTTGGTTTAAAGGCTTCCGTTGCATTCTTTTCATCTGTTCCGGTTGCCTTATCTCATTGCTTGTGTTGTAAAGCCATTTACTGCTCTTGAACATGAAGGTATAATAACTAATAAGATATACAGTCATTTGCATTTTTATTTTAATTAGAAGCTAGGCTGGTGCCATTAGCTTTAATAAGATTAGAAAACCCTGCAGGGAGTGCTTTTGAAAATGGAACTGAAAATTTAAATGGGTTTTTTTGGGCTGCAAAAAAGTGTCCTTTTGGCAGTGCTGGAAAGCACACCCCTCTCTAGCTGCAGAATGGAAAGCATGGCTCGTGGCAGGTTGTGTTGTTGCTGTCTAATTTTGCATAATCCTGAGGTAGTAGGGCTGTGTTTTGCTCGTTTATTTTCTTTCCATGAAAGAAAGCCAGGTTCTTTCAGAGAGCCTAGCGGGTTTTCAGTGTTCCTGTAAAAACTTGAGAGAAGATGTGGACAATTGTCTGTTAGGAAGCACTGCAGCTGGGAGAGGCTGAAACTCTCCAGTTCTTTTTTAGTACAACCTACAGCTTCCCCTAGCATTGGGCCTGGGGGAGGAAGGTGACAGGTGAAACAACTTGTGGTGGGTTGACCCTGGATGGATGCCAGGTGCCCACCAAAGCCACTCTATCACTCCACCCTCCTCAGCTGGACACGGGAGAGAAAATATAACAAAAGGCTCCTGGGTCAAGATAAGGATAGGGAGGGATCACTCACCAATTACCATCAATGGGCAAAACAGACTTGACTTGGGGACATTAGTTTAATTTGTAGCCAATCAAATCAGAGTAGGATAATGAGAAAAAACACCTTCCCCCTACCCTTCCCTTCTTCTCGAGCTTAACTTCACTTATGATTTCTGTACCTCCTTCCTGCAAGCAGCACAGGGGGGTGGGGAATGAGGGTTGCAGTTCATCACATGTTGTCTCTGTCATTCATTCCTCCTCAGGGGGAGGACTCCTCACATTTTTCTCCTGCTCCAGTGTGGGGTCCCTCCCACAGGAGACAGTCTTCCACAAAAGTCTCCGACATGGGTTCTTCCCATGGGCTGTGGTTCTTCATGTACTGCTCCAGCATGGGTCCCCTCCATGGGGTGCGGTTCTTTGTGAACAGACTGTTCCTGCATGGGTCCCCTGTGGGGTCACAGGTCCTGCCAGCAAACCTGCTCCAGTGTGGGCTCCTCTCTCCATGGGTCCACAGGTCCTGCCAGCAAACCTGCTCCAGTGTGGGCTCCTCTCTCCATGGGTCCACAGGTCCTGCCAGGAACCCGCTCCAGTGCGGGCTTCCCATGGAGTCACAGCCTCCTTTGAGCATCCATTTGCTCCAGTGTGGAGTCCTTCATGGGCTGCAGGTGGATATCTGCTCCACCGTGGACCTCCATGGGCTGCAGCGGGACAGCCCGCCTCACCATGGTCTTCACTGTGGGCTGCAGGGGAATCTCTGCTCTGGCACCTCGAGCACCTTCTTCCCCTCCTTCTTCACCAACCTTGGTGTCTGCAGAGTTGTTCCTCTTGCATATTCTCACTCCTCTCTTTGACTGCAGTTGCACAGGGCTTTTTCTCCCTTTCTTAAATATGTCATGCCAGAGGTACTAGCACTGTTGCTGATGGGCTCAAGCTTGGCCAGCAGTGGGTTTGTCTTGGAGCTGGCTGGCATTGGCTGTCTCGGACATCGGGGAAGCTTCTAGCAGCTTCTCACAGAAGCCATCCCTGTAGCCCCTGCTCCCCCCTGCCCCGGCTGCCAAGACCTTGCCACGCAAACCCAATACACAACTATTTGTCTTCCCTTTCTGGTAGCAACGTGGCAGGGAATGGCAAAGTTTTGATATGGCAGTAGATCCCTGTGGAGATCAGATGCAGGGAATGTCCAGGCTTCTTGTTTTTGCAGTGGATCTAACCAGTTCTGTTCATTACCATGTAGAACTAGTGAGGTTTTTGGTTAAGGAACCAAATTTTCTCTCTGTAAAATCTTACAATCTATTAGGGTTTAAAAGAGCGTGAATTAGCTTGAGCTGTCATATCTGGAGGTATCAAGATACACTTCCCTCCTGGTTTTGCAGGCCTGGCTATGGTATATGATCTGTGTGTTGTGAAGATACCGTGCCCTGCGAGGTGATTATTTGTTTAATTTGTGGGTGAACCTAGTGCCTGCACAATAGTGTTGATTATCACAGCCATAATCTGGGTGGGTGCAGTACTGACATTTGACAGATTGCATTACACTTCATTCAAGATCAGCAGTGTTCTTCACCTCAAAAACAGGTGTCTGGTAATACAGAATACGCTTATTGTATAAGTGCTCTGCAAATACTGATTATAAACATTTTCTGCTTCAAGTGCAGAAGTCAGAAGAGACCTCCCAGACATGCAGAAAGGTGGGGAAGTGGATACAAGGAGACTTTGCAGCAGTATTGGTCAGGATACTGGGCTTAGCTGTTTATTAACTAATACTAAGGTTCTCCTTCTCTTCTTCTGTGTTGCTGAATTTGGCAAACCGTTACGGGTTTGTGATACGGACAAATGGTGCTTAAGGAGTTGAGATGAGATTTCCAGAGGGCTGCTTCCCAGCAGTGGCCTATTATAGGAATGGTGTACAAGTGTCTTGTGCTCTGGATGCTGCTTTTGTGATCAATGAACTGATATTGATGAGAACCTTAACTGGGGTGGATGTACTACCAGGCTTCTCCTAACATGTTTATTAGTGACAGATAGTTCAGAAGAGAGTATGTGGCAGGGATGTGACTTACAGTTTGGTACAGCGAATCCCTTAAATTAAAGGTAGCGGAGCGTTTTTGTATTTGACAATCCCCGTCTCTCCAAAGTGGATTGTCTGTTTTAAATCACATTTATATGTTTTGATTATAAACATGTGAGCTGGTAATAGATCGTGAAATTAGACAGTGGAGTACTTCAAAATACGGTTTCTTAGAAAGTCTTAAACACAGTACTGTAAATTGAAGATGGAAGCAAATCCTTCAAGTACATTCCAGTTTGTCCTTGGCCTCATTTGGTATTCCTTTATTTGGAGAGCATTGATCAGAACTGTCAATTAGGGCATGGTATTCTCCTTACGGGCATACAGTTCTTTAAAAATATCTTGGCTGCAACTGCAGCTTTTAAAAACCACTTTCAGAACAAATGAATCTGCCTGACCTGCTAGAGATTGGAAAAATACCTGTTCCCCAGGAAGTATGCTACTGGTGACCTCAAGCTGATGTATAAAGGGAACAGGAGAAAAGATGCCATTGCTGCAAGTTTCTGCACTTTTAAAAAGATCAAGAGTTTGTGTCTGTTACAACTGTATGTTTTAAGAACAGTGTGTGATTGGCTGTTGCTTTTCTCATCTTCTCAAATAAATGACTTGTCGGTCTGTATTATTATTCTTGTTTGTTTTTTTAGGAAGCGGCAAAACGCTTGCATTTGCAATTCCAATGATTCACTCTGTGCTGCAGTGGCAAAAATCAAATAGCTCAACAACCAGAAATGACAGCGTTTCTAAAGAGTCCCATCAGCATCATGATGAAACAAGATGGGAAAATGAGGATGAAGCAGAAAAACTAACCCATCAGCAGGTTGAAGATAGTGGAGATGAAGATGATGCATCTTTCACAACAGGCTGTGTGAAGGTGCTGGAAAATATTGAATTTGATTCCGGTGACAAGACGCATGCTGTTGGCTCCCATAAAAAGAGACCTCTTTTAGGACTGGTCCTTACTCCCACAAGAGAATTAGCTGTACAAGTCAAACACCACATTGATGCAGTTGCAAAGTTTACAGGTATGTAGACCCCATGGGCCATGTCCCAGTTTACGCTGGGTTTGAATCTTGGCGTTGGTGTTGAGCCAGAATGTGTGCTGCAGTGTCTTCCACATCATAAAATTGGGGTGGCTTTTGAAAGGTTAGGGTTTGTATCAGTAATATTTGAGAAATGCATTAAGATTCTTCAATGAGATGCATGTAGAAGTAAACAGTTTATGTGGGATATTTTTCTTCCTTGAAATAGCTATTGGCTCATGCTTTAGCAAAACAGAATCAGTACTAGATACCCAGCCACAGCTAACTTTGTCCTGGTTTTGGATGATGTAGGTTATATATAAATAAACATTTCATTTTATATATATATGTATTTTTAATATATATATTTCATAATTTCCTTTTTTGACAGATAGATAGATATAGATACATCTATAGATACTATTTTGCTTACCTCACAGCAGTCAGGCCACAGCATATTGCTGGGTAAGATGCATGATGAAGTCCATCCTGTTTCTTTTTCTTCCAAACCAGAGGTCTGTTAAGTTAATGATTGAGGATGTGAAACGAACTGTTCAAGATGGGGAGAATTAGGAAACAACTCCCCACTTCTCCAATAGTTGTAATTGTTTATGTATTGAAGAGGATTAAGTAGCACAGTGAACTGCTTTTAAGCATGTCTTCCTTTGGTGTCTATACGTCCTGCTGTGCTCATCAGTCTACAGCTGATTACAAGGCTAATTTTAACTCCTAGCCTTAAATAATCAATCTATGTCAGTACAGTTCTGATAGGAGCAGTGCTATTTGTGTGTAAAAAATCTGCTGCCCAGGTGATGTATAGTTGCTGCAGCAGGAGGGTAAATATGTTTTCATGTGGGCTTTCTTTATTGTCTCAAACTCACTTTGAAAAAGATCCCCACCTGGAAGCATGGGATTCCACAAGTAGTGGAAGTAGGGAATAGAGATCTGTGGTAGCTTGGATACTGGGGAAATCTTACGCAGTAGCATTGAGTTTGTCATGGGTCACTGTATTCTTTAAGAAGTAGGGTGAAATAAGCCATGTGTGGAGTCTGTACTTCCAAAGCTAAACTCCTTTTAGTACCTAAGCAAATTGCTTAAAGCTCACTTAGGGTCTCTGTGCTGCTGCACAGTCCAGAGAATCATTAATTGGGAGGGAGCATTCTTGTTGGGATTAATCCATAGCAAATGAGCAGTTATTAGCAAGACAAGCATTTCTCAGTCTTATTCTTGGAGGGGCCTTCTGGTTATTCATAACAGTAACATGCTTGTTGACGCAGACATAATTGACAAAACCTGAGATTCTGAAGTATGGGTAAACAAAGCTAACAGCTACGGAGGACATAGATGATTCTTCCTGCTATTGGAAGACAGGTCCACTAAAAGAAAGACTATTTTTGACGTCTTAACTATAATGAGGATTTTTCTGCAAAATTGAGGGTGTTGCTGCATGTTCAGTAATATAAACCCCCTGAAGTTTACTGGCCAGAATGCTTGCTAAAAGTTGTGGTGTAGACTTTTTAAAATGCTACTTTGAGTGGATGTATGTAAAGACGTTCACCGATAAATTAGTAAGATAAAAACTATTATTTATATGTTCTAGGCATTAAGACTGCAATTCTAGTTGGAGGCATGGCTGCACAGAAGCAAGAACGTGTACTGAATCGAAAGCCAGAAATTGTAATTGCAACCCCAGGCCGCCTGTGGGAATTAGTTAAAGAAAGACACCCACATCTTTCAAATCTTCGGCAGCTCAGGTAAAGGTGCCTTTTAGACTAACTGCTGGATACTGAACTGGGCGTCAGTGTATACTGATTATGTTTACTAACTGATTAAATAATTTAGACTACGTAAGATCACTTACTTATTTGCCAGAGTGTTTTATTGAAATGCACAGGGGTTATATTGATGGAAGGAAATGTCAAGTAAAGCCAGTAGCAAACCCCTCATTTTTCCTTTAGAGATCTGATTCTTCAAAAAGAAATGTGGAAGGCTGCTGTAAATACCCTGGCATACCTCATGTTCCTTTGGGTTTTACATGCAGAACTTCCCTTACGTTTTTGGCTGGAAAAGTTCTTCTGAAATGTATCAGATCTGTATTTATCTGCACAAGTGTATTTTTATTGTCTGTTTTCTATTTGACAGGTGCCTTGTGATTGATGAAGCAGACCGAATGGTTGAGAAAGGTCACTTCTTAGAGCTGTCTCAGTTGCTGGAAATCTTAAATGATTCACAGTATAACCCTCAACGACAGACTTTTGTTTTTTCTGCCACTTTGACTTTAGTCCATCAGACTCCCACAAGAGTTTTACAGAAGAAGAATGCTAAAAAGATGGACAAGAAGACCAAACTAGAATTGTTAATGGAAAAAGTAGGAATAAAGGGCAAACCCAAAGTGATAGACTTAACAAGGAAAGAGGCTACTGTTGAGACTCTGACAGAAACCAGAATCCACTGTAATACAAATGAGAAGGACTATTATCTCTACTACTTTCTTCTCCAGTATCCAGGAAGAACCATGGTCTTTGCAAACAGCATAGACTGTGTAAAACGCCTCAGTTCTCTCCTCACAATCTTAAATTGTGATCCTCTTCCTTTGCATGCCAACATGCACCAAAAGCAAAGGCTGAAAAACCTGGAAAGGTTTGCTGAGCAAGAGAGGTGAGCTGATTTTCTACTTCCTAGTAGAGAAGAAAAGAAATTGTGTAAAGGGTAGTGGGGAGAGGAAACAGCTCTGTTAGAGTAGGAGCAGGTTGGGGGAGGTAGCTGGGGATGCGAGTCCCCCATTAATAAGCCCAGGTTATTAATGATTAAGGATGAGGATTCACTGGGTGGTGAATTGGACTGAGTTCAGTGGAAGACCACCAAGATGACCAAGAAGCACTTGCTCTGCAAGGGGAGAGGCTGAGGGCACTGGGTTTCTGTCACCTGGGAAAAAGACTTTGTGGGGACCTAATGGCAGCCCTCCCATATCTTAAAAGAAGGTTATCAAGAAGATGGAGCCAGGCTCTTCACAGTGGTGCCTGGTAGGTGGATGAGGTGCAAGTTGAAACGAGAGATTCAGGCTGGGTGTAAGAAAGAGCTTTTTCTCTGTGAGGGCAGTCGGGCATTGGAACAGGCTGCTTGTTCTTGGAGGTTTTCAAGGCTCAATTGGATAAAGCCCTGAGCAACCTGGTCCAACCTTATAGCTAATCCTGCTTTCAGGAGGAGGTTGGAGTAGAGACCTCCTGAGGTCCCTTGCAGCCTGAATTGTCCTGTGGCCTGGCAGCTCATTGCTGCTGAAGGAGCTGTCACTTGTCCTGTTTTCAGTCATATGCTCTTATAACCATGTTGCGCACCTCTGTGCCCTAGCTCTGCAGCTCATTTGATCCTTCTGCAGGTTGGTTCATCTCACTAAGCCATCAGAAAACTAACCACTTTTTGCTGGGTTAGGGTTTTGTGGGTTTAGTTAGCTGAATTAGCTTCCTGAGGGTCAAGGTATCCTAGAGCAAGGCTGTTGGTGCCTTTCAGTGGGAGCTGGCAATCAGGTTTACCCAGGCAGGCTTGTTACCTGCTGGCTTTGGGACGGCCTTTGGGAGGAGGTTGGTGGTCTCACTACTTCCATAATGCAGAAGCCTCACAGTTTAGTCCTGCTCTGAAGTGCTGCATGCTGTCTGATGATGTGGGAATTTGTAGTTTGGCAATACTCAGGCAGGGAGAACAGAGATTGAATTGCCGTGAGAGATCTGCAGCATCCCTTGGCAAAATGTAGTATCAATACCATTGGCCTAAGCCAGACAGGACATTTGCAAAGACTGCAGATTTTCAAGGCAAGAAGAAATCTATGGACTATCTATCACTGCCTCCTGCAGATTGAAAACTGTAGAATTTTCCCTGTTTATTTCAGCTTCAAACCTTGTAGCAATATAGAGTATGCAGTCAGCTGCCATAAAATCTTAACAAATTCCCGTTACCTACAAGTAACACGTTTCAGTTGCTGGGAGTTTTTTTTTAAAACTAATTGTTCCATACCTTAGGGAGACTTTCATCTCTGTAGTGGACTGTTTATGTAAAGGAATGACTTTTTTGAATAGTTCTTCATTTCTAGGTGTAATTAGAACAGAATCCCTCCCCTTTATATTTCTAGCTTTTAATTTAGTGATAGAACTTGGGTGGAACTTGGTAGAAGATATTTCAGTCCCAAAAAGCTGTTAATTAAATCTGTAATGTTAATAACATGATTTTTCTCAACTGCTGAAATTTGCAATAACCTTTCTGTCCTGCCAAAAGATCAACTGTGTAGTTAATGGTATGGTCATATCAAGCTAAAGATATTTTTAAACCCAGCCTGGGCAGAGCACTGAGAAATGGAATGAAGGGGAGCATAGCCGCCTGCCAAGTGGTTGGATTTGGTCATTGAATAGTGATTTGCGCTAGTGTTTCTGTGGACTGGGAGAGAATAAAAGCATAGGAAACCAGGATCCAGCAAGGTAGTGAATTTCAGTATTAGTAACAGAATAGACCTGCTGGAGGTAACATTTGCATTTTTTTTCTTTTACTTTAAGAATTGCTGTTTCAAGACTGCCTTGGATGTAATACTGGGTATCATTTTCTGTAAGGGCAAACAAATAGCGTATTTCCAGCAGATGATATAGTACAAATCTGTTCCTTAAATTGCTGTGGTAGAATTCTAGGTCGCTGTATTTTATGTTCCTTAGCAGATGGTTTCCTTTTCAATTTTATGTTCATTAAACGTTATCACTTTCTCAGCTGTGTCCTCCTGACAACAGATGTTGCAGCTCGTGGTCTTGATATTCCCAACGTGCAACATGTCATCCACTACCAGGTTAAATATTTTTAATGTTCTTGCTTTTACTATTTTGGTTTTGAAATAAGCTTTTGCTGATCCAAACCCTGAACACTATAAAGCTGTGATTCTTGGTCCTGTGTATAGTATAGTCCTGAGTATAGTGATGTAATCATTATTAACTGAACTGTCCTGTAGTGATTTGTACTTAAGGATCTCATTGCTGCAGTGACTGACTGGTAGGTAGCACTTCATGAATGTGTGATGATATATGAGGAATTAGATCACAGATATGATTCTCCTTGCTTTTTGCATAACTTTGATATCCAAAGTTGTCACATGACTCAGCCCTCTAACTCTTCTCTGAGGACGCATACAATTTTTTTCCTGCTTTGCAAATGGAGTGGCAGAGGGTCAGAAGTTAGGAGAGACTCACAAAGGATTATGCAAGGAAGAATACTGGACCAGAGAACAAAAAGTGTCTCCAGACATTATCTTTTACCTTCAGCTGTGTTATATGCAATGTACTACATGTATATAAAAACGAATATTCTTTGGCAACCTTTTGGCCAAAGCCTAACAGGCTGCTGCTAGCTTTCCATGGCCAGCTTCATGTTTTTTCTGAATATTTGCAGGTCCCTCGTACTTCTGAGTTGTATGTACACAGAAGTGGCAGAACAGCCCGAGCTGCCAACGAAGGCCTTAGCCTATTGCTGATTGGCCCTGATGACTTGATCAATTTTAGGAAAATTTATAAAACGTTGGAGAAGAGTGAAGAGCTGCCATTTTTTCCAGTTGAAACCAAGTGCATGACTTCTATCAAGGTAAAGAAACAACAATCTCTTTGCAGCCTGAGTAGTTGCTTGCTTACTTATGTTATTTCATTATCCATTACGTTCTTTCCATGTTTCAGGTTAGATTTACCCTTCAGGACATGGATTTGAAAATGAAGTTAATCACAGTTTATCTTTTTTTAAGCAATATTTGTGATTTTTCCTTAATAACTGGCCCAAGAAAGGTGTTCAAACATAAACATCACTTAATATTTCTTGCACATTGTTATGCAAAGCTTCTCATGACTAGATTCCCAAAAACAGTGCAGGGAAGCGAGTATGTTTTGTGGCTGGGGAGCTGGGATGGCTCTGTTAAGTACTTTGCTTAAAGCCTCTTGTGTTAGGACTAGAGAGCCATAGCAGGTCCAGGGATCTCCAGTGGTCTTCATCTGCCGCTTCTCAGTGGAAGTAATGAGTTGTCTGCTTTTCTAAAAGTTTCTCTACTGTGAGGCCACAGCTGCCACTGAACCCTGTCAAACCAGGTGTGTTTCCTTGTTCTAGGTTATTGCCCGTTTTAAGGAGAATTCAGTCATTTACTAACTCACAAGATAGCCAATTCTTAGGATATACAAAACAATATATTCTAGAAAGCATCTAGTCACCACAGTACTTCTTGAGTAAGAGGCCATTTCATGTCTCAGCATTCTTTTAACAGTTTGGGTGACATCAGCCATGTACAAATGGGACATATTTAAATACTGCATTTGAAAGGAATCCAGCTGCATTTGGAGTGTCTGAATATTGCACAGTCATTGAAAACAGGAGAAAAATGCGAGCAGTCAGATAATGCAACAGGTACCACCCTTAAGGTATTCTGGTTCATGCTTATCCAGTTGGCTTGGACTGAGCCCAGGGTCTACCCTAGTGGCAACAGCGGTGTACTCACCATGAGCATAATGTCAGCAAGTTTCAAAGCCCAGGCTTGCTGCAAATGAGGTATTTAGCGTAAATCTTTCAGGAGATGCAGCTTTCTGGAAGAGGAAGAAAATCAAAGAAATGCTTCCACAAACTCGTTTTTCTCCTCTTAGTAGTAACAAAGAGAATTTGAATTTTTTTCCCCCCCTATCTTTCCCCCCACCTCCCTCTACCCACCAAATGTTTTCTGGTTACTGAAAGAAATCTGTTGTTTTTAAAGTGTTTCTTCAGAGGTCCCTTCTGTGTTTCTTGATGAGTAGTTCTTGGCTCTTATCATGCTCTGTCAATTAATGGGCAAATAAATATTGTTTCCACACTTAAATTTTCCTGCCGCCATCTCACAATCTTCTATGTATAATAGTGCTCTTCTCCCCAGAAGAGATGTCTTTGTAATTGTAATTGCAGGACTCTGGCCTCCTAGGCCCTACCTAGGTCTCATTTACACTTTGCCCTGGGCTTAATCACAAAGCCATTGTAGTTTGGACTAATAGTGCTGCCGGTTCTTTATGGCTGTCCCTTTGTCACACTCCTTCCATGGTGCTGCATGCCTTCATTCAAGTTCAGGAAAAGTGTGAAGATATTTCACACTTGAGAGGAATAGAATTGGTGAACCAGGGTAGAGAAGAGACCAAAAGAGGACTCAAGTTTTACAAAGATGGAAAAACTATTACAATTTCTTGTAATGATCTAAGGAGAAGTGACTGACTTGTTTTATTAGTCAACTGCAAGTGTAATTTCCTCTCTCTCTCAGCGTGTTAATTATCTTGGCAGTTTTGGCTGGTGCTGTTATTTTGTAGCACCAGACTATTCCTTTGGGGTAGTCCGGGTGTCCTGCACAGGGTTTGTTTTATGCAACCACAAGCACATTCCAAACGGCAGAACTTGCTGCTGAGTTGATTATTATTTACTGTCAGTGCAGATTTTGTTTCTGTAATGAATTAGGTATTTAAGACAGCTTGGCCCAGCTGGAAGGCTGCAGGTCAGGCTATGTTTGCTGGACATCTTTGTTCCACCTGTGGGCAGCAGGGAAGAAGGACAGAACATTTTGTCCTGTGCCTGAACAAGACCAGGTGCATTTCTGAAAACATGAGTAGCTCCTTCCATATGGCCTACAGGAGCTTACTTCTTCAGAGTGGGATGAAGCTAGCAGCTGCCCCTTATTGCTGAGACTAGTAACTGTAAGATCCAGCTGTACTATGTAAATATGTAACTTGGAAATGATCGGTATCTGAATCACGATTTGTCCTTGATGTCTCTGAAGTGTTTGTAATGATTTGTTTAAAGAGTAAGGAGTTAACATTCAGGCATGTTTAGTAGTTGAGATGTTTTAGAAGTCAGATTCTATCATGAATGTAAAGAAGGGGAAAATAGCAAATTATGACATGTCTTTATTACCTGGACCATCTGCTGGGACAGCAATAGGGAACAAAGTGTCTCTATATCTCAGTTGTGTTGTAATGCTTGCGTGCTCTCAAACACTGATTCTGCTGAAGTGCCCCACATTTAAACCTGTTTGTAATGTCTAAAATGTACTTCTGTTGCAGGAGCGGATGAATTTGGCGCGGCAGATTGAGAAGGCAGAATTTTTCAACAGTCGGGCAAAGCAGCACAACTCCTGGCTCCAGCAAGCTGCAGAGGCTCTTGAGATTGATCTTGATGATGACATGCTTATGGGCAAGTAGAAATGCTTGTTTATGGGTCTGCTTAGTTGGTCCCATAGCAGTGATGTCCAGAAGAAGCCCCACCATGGCAGAGGAGTTCTTAAAACCTGCAGGGCAGAGAGGGAAGGAAAGGAGTGTCATTACTTAGTATGTGGTGCTGCGGGTGTTTTCAGGATGATTGTGCAATAGGTAGTGCTGGAACTGAGGGAATGAGGTGTGACAACTCTGGCAAGTTGTAGGCAAGTCCACATGTCATAGGACAAGAACTGTTTAGCTTCTGGCAAACTTTTTAGGGTAATCTAACAGCCTAGTGTGTCCTGCTTGAGTCTTGTCCCCTCTGTGTCAAAGAAAAAGCTGGTTCTCCACTTCTGCTTACCTCTCCCACCTCCCTGTAGTCAGGCAGCAGGACAGGAGCCTGGCAACTTTGGTGGGAACACCCAGGAAACGCTAGCAAATGCCAAAAATTATGTGAGCCTTATGTAGGTTGAGTTGTGTGGGCTAAATGGCCAATACTTATGTTCAAGTTGCTAGGATTTTTGGTAGTGTGTTAGAAGTAATTTTTTACGTTATTAAAATTAAATGTTCTGCAGGCTGTGCCTGAGAGAATGTGTAGGGCTGTGCAAGTACAGGTGCCTATTAGTTCAATGCCATGAAGCTTTGTACTGCTTAGATGCACTGTAATATGCCACATTTTGTTCAGATTTTAGGAGCTGAAGGTATAATTTCCTACCAGTTCTTTGAAGGCATGCTGCGTAGGGGTGCTGCCTGGGTTACTTCAGCTTAAGCTGGCTCTAACCTGTTAGCCACTAAATATGCAGATGCCTTAATTTTGAAGCATGTTCAGCTTAATTTTTTTCTTTCCTTTATTCATGGCTGGACTAGCTTGTTTGCTTGCAAAGTGGTTGAGAACACTAATCGTCTCTGTCCAAACTGTTCAGGAGCGCTCTCTGATAATTAGCACTCTGCTGTCTTGTTTTGACATAATCTGAGTATGCTGTGCTTTGAAATGAGTTTCAAAACAGCACATCCAGTCCAAGTAAGTTGTGGCTCTCAAGTGAAGCACTTTGTAATTGCCACTCAGAATCTTGCCAGATTCATGCTTTAAAATGTATTCAGTCTCCGATTCTTCCATAGTTTGTTGGAGACCAATTAAATCTCAGTCATTCCTCCCGTAAATGAATTGCCTCTTAAGCTGTTACAAAGGATTTAGTAATGTCCTTTCAGTTGACATCACAGAAATGTTGATTTTGTTTATTCTCTCCAGTCCAGGCCTCTGACCATATAAACTATCCCCGGTCTTTTCTATCTCCTTCTTTCTCCTATGTTATTAAATCTGAGTACCTCATTGTTTTTTATGTATTAAGGAGGAAAGGGCTTCCTGTTTTACAGGTGCTGAGATGAGGCATGCATAAAGTAACGAAATACACCGAAGAAGCTTCTGCCTGAGCTAGAAGCACTGGGTTAATAACTTATCTTCTGGGCCCCCTTTCCTTTTTTTCCCTCATCTGTTCTGGGTTGCGAGCCAACTGAATAATTTAGCAGAATGATACCGGGGTATAGTTACTCAGTAGTCAGGATTCTTCTTGATCTTGTTATCTTGGGGACAGCCTGGGTGATCTGAAAGTGTCACAGATGACTGGAAGACTGTATGGGAGTTGAGTGACCTTGTTAGAGAGAGAAAGATACGATTAGCATCTGCCCCTAGCACTACAAAAGCCTGGTGAAGGAGGCCAATGCAAGTTCTTCGCTTGTTGTAACGTTCCGTGTCTTTGATTTCTGCCCCAAGGAAGAAAAGCTAGTGAGCAAGAAGAATGCCAGAAGCAAAAGATGCTGAAGGGGATGAAAAAACAACTAAAACATATGTTGTCCCAGCCACTGTTTAAAGTCCTTATGAAAACCAAATACCCAACACAGTCTGGAAAACTACTCCTGCCTCAGACATCAGCGGGTATTTCAGAATCTGCTCTGGGTACTGTGTCCAGACAACAAGCCAAGAAGAAGAAATCGATAAAACTAAATTAGATAACTCAGCAAGATCACTCTGCAACAGAAGCAAGGACAATCCTTATCAAGACTGTCAGTGCTTATGGAGGAACTCAGCTAGAAGACATGTAGTATCAGAGGATGTTGCCTGTGTTTTGGTTGTGCAGGCACAAAGCAAAATGTTGATTTAAAGGGCTCTGTTAACAGGCAATTAGTTACTGTTGAATCTTGTTTTGGATCTTATTTCCTTATGTTCTTACTTTTTTTTTTTCTTACTCTGTATTAATAGAAGTTAATTAGTTTTGAAATAGTTCTGTTTATTACTCCTTTTTGTGAGATGGGTAGAAGTTACTGGATAAAATTCACTGTGGGCATACTCTAATGATAAATCTTGATTTGAATTTTAATGTCCTTAAAGGAAAGGGGAAAGTAGGCTGTATACAGTCTGAGTACAACATGAGCTGGTGGTAACAGGAGGTTTGGCTTTTACTGCAGCCAGTTCAGTGAGAAAGGCAGCAAATACAGGTAGTGTTACCAGCAGGTCTACAATCCTGCTTATGGAAATCTCTCCCAATTTTCTTCCTCCTCTGATAATATTTCTCTGTTCTGTTCTCCACTGGGTCCCAATTCCCTTAGTCCTGTGTCATACGTGTTTTAGAATGTGCAAAAAAAGTCAAGGTGGCAATGGGCCAGGACTGACCTTCGGAGATGTGTAGATTTTTAAGGAGTAAGTGTTGCTACTCAGTGTTCTCTTAATTAATATTTGGAGTTAAGTTTGTATTTGAAAACATGTTAGAACCGTCACCTTTGGAAAAGGTGATGATGTTGTGAAGTGTTACTTTTGAAGAGTGCTTCCCGATAATTATGCTTAATCATTTTAACCTGACCTGGGCAAATAATTTTTAAAACTATTTTTAAAATTCTGTCAGAAAAATATATTTTGATTTTTTGTTAAATTATATCTGCTATAAAACCTAAAGCCTGTGTTTGTTTTTAGTCACCTGAGATTTCTAAATTCCTCATAGCTGATGCCCTTTGCACCTAGCAGGCAAGGAGAGGGGGAAAAGCACCTGAAAGGTAGGACATAGCAATGGGATCTGTATTGGTGGGAGCAGAAGGAACCCTCACCTGCCAGCTCTACATCGGGCTGAGGTTTTGTCTCATACAGTATAGAACCAGTGTCACTGCCATGATTGGAGGCATCAGTTTACTCAGCTAATAAAAGCGAAATTTTTCTATGGAGTTAGGTGCCCCTTCCAGCCACTTGCTGGTTGTGTGAGAATAGCAAATTCTTTACTCTTTCATCTGTGTAAATAATTGAAAGCCTCCCCCACTCCCTCATTTCTCGAGGGCTTTTCTCTTGCTTCCTTGCGTTACTGAAGAAGAGCTGCGACAATTTAATCATAAGCATGCAGAGCTTATCAGTTACATATGAAACTTGCATTGCAATGCACTGTTTGGCTCATGCCCTTCAGAGTAGAGGGGGGAAGTTTTGGGGAGGAAGAGATGGTAAAGTTGTTTCCTCACTCATGCGAGAAGATGACACATCTTTGGAGTTAATGTGACATCTGAAAAACAAAAACGAGAATTTAAAGAAAGTTCCTTGTAAGGAAAGCTGAAAAAAGGAACTGAGCAAAGGCAAGCATGCCCTCATTCCATTTCTGTGCCATTTTAATCACATTCTTACATTATGGAAAGGAAACTTGCGTTGGTTTTGCATCCCTGGAGGGACTGAAGACGAGGTGGGCCTTTTCTGCATCTTGTGATCTATTTCTGCTTACAATTCACCAGCAAAATCAAGGCTGGATCCTGACTCAAGCTCTGCATCTCCTCCCTTGTCTGAAAATCTGCATAGGAGGTAGGACAGTTTGAGCAATTTCTAATTCACAGAATCACAGAATCGCAACGGTTGGAAGGGACCTCAGGAGATCATCTAGTCCAACCTCCCTGCTAAAGCAGGTTCTCCTAGAGCATGTTACGCCGGACTTCATCCAGGCGAATGATCCACGTGATCATGAGGAGAACTGAACCAAGGGACTGAGTATTGTTATTTCCTCTCCATCATTGCTGTGAAGATTTTCAGCTGCTTCTGTTACCCTGTGTTTAACAGCCTAGTTCTCACACTCCCACCCCATTGTCTTGCTGATTCCCCCCAAGACAGAGCATGACACTCCTGCCCTCCTCCTCGCCTTCTTCTTGCTCGCCTGTGGCATGCTCTGCTGCTGGTTTTCTCCTGCAGCTTCCAATGTGCTCAGCAGGAGTTCTCAATGCTTAATCTACTGATGCTGCACCCCCACAGGAGCTCAAGCTGAGCCTGGACCCTAAAAATATCTCAGTGTCTTAAAAAGAATACTTGTCTAGTGTTCTGAAAGCTCTCTGGTGGCTGCCTGCTTTGCCTTGTCCTTATCTTACCAGGATACCCTGAGCCTTGTACCTGGAGGAAAAACCTTATACTTGCTTTAGCTAATTTAAATGAATTATTAAACAGTAACTGGAAAAACAGTACCACTTGTTTGCCCTCCTCCAATGTGAACCAGGTTACTGCAGGAAGAGAGGAAAGCGAAGGATCATGTTTTCTCCAGCTCTGATTATTTGCATGTGTATTACTGGTGCAAATTAGACATGAAGAGATTTACATCAAGTGCACATGGGCAATTTAATTTTAGTATTTAATGAAATATGTAGTATCAAATGGTTTCTGTAATGCTCTACTGGTACAGCAGTTACACTAAGGCCTCATACAAGTAATCTTGTCTTTTGTGGCAGCTTATGTCTGCTAAAATACCCATCAATTAAAGGACTAATTAAGTCTATTTTGGCTGTAACAGCAAGTTCCAAGTAGATTAATAAAAGCGTGAGTCCAGCAGAGTGTTGGTAGGGGCCAAGCTGATACAGAGCAACCAGTACTTTATAACAGAAAACTGAAACCCTAATAGCTTCTGAGCCTTCGCTTATTTTGTGATTATGGGAGTGTGGGGGTGTTGACCTCATCCTTGTTGCATACTATCAAGAGAAGGAAGAGTCCCTGTAGTTTAAGACATCTGCTGAGGAGATAGTTTGGACAGGATCTCGCATATTGGACAGCGAAGTTTCCTGACATTCCCCTAGCCTTTTTTTTTCTCTCTTCCCCTGTATGTTAATAAAACAGCAAGTTAGCAAAGCAGAAGCTGGAGCGCTGCCTTGCCATATGTCAGCAGCCCAGGCACACGGCTGGCCATGTGGCATAGGGGAGGTAATTTGCACCTAATTGAGAAAGGGCCGGGTACCGCAGACTTACCGCAGTCAGTCTGCCTACCCAGGTCTGTAAAGGGGAAAGAAGGAAGGACACTGTCTGATGATCTCACCTCATACTGCCTGATCCCAGGGGGAAAATCTGGTAAGAAACACTGTGCTTTCATGGGTGTTAAAACACCTGCTGCTTTGTCCTGTGCCAGCAGGGTGTGTTTTGGCTGCCTCAGTGATTCCGCGTTGTTTGATGAATGGCTTGGTGAAGGAAGGAGCTCAGAAGACTGTGAGTTGAGTGACTAGTAACAGACCGATAGTGTAGCAAGCAACAAGACATAAGTAATACCCAGTAGTCCTTGCAGAAAAGTAGGCTGTTGTCAGAGGTCATAGGACTGGGGAGAAGGGAGGCACCAGACGGAAGGGGGCTCTTTTAGGAAACGGCCCTGACTCTGCAACCTTCTATAGATCCCCTTTGGATACTCAGGCAGATGTCTGGTGCTTGTCTGGCCCGTGTGAGATTTCCTATTCCAGCTTCCTTTTATGAAAGGTACTTCAGGGCTTCGGTGTTTTCCCTAGTCAATCAAAAGCTCCTCATGGGGTGGGCCTCACAGAGTGGGTAAGAAAGAGGAAAATAATCTGTGACTCCTGAGGCAAGTTCGTCGGCCTGAGGAAGCAAGTGAACAAACAGAGCTGCTACGCTTGTTTGTCTCGGAGTTCAGCAGCTCTTGCTGTGAAGCTGGAAGAAATTGCAGCCTGTTTCCAGAGCAACCAACTTTAGAAGGTACAAATTGCCAAATTTCTGTAGGTGAGGGCTGCAGTTACAGATCCCCGGTTGGAAAAGGAGAAAGGGCACTACAAAGTACACACAGGCTTTGGTACCAGTGGGCTAATTAGAGATCTGCTGTTCTTTTTATTATTGATGTAATTATATCAGTCTAATCAGTACTGTGGATGCTTTTATAGGAGTAGAGTTTATTTTTGTTTCCTCATGGGAATACCTACACCAGTATAAGCCATTTTAGTACTGAAGGGTGTTATGGATTTATGCACACTGGCCACCATAAGACTAGGGTCTGACCCTAGGATCCCACTGATGTAAAGTCCAAGTTGAAGGTTTCCAATTCCTCTTTTATTCACTCTCAGGTTACAGCTCAAGCTGGGTGCCTCCAGAGAGGGACCCCTATCCCAGATCAGGGTTAATACCAGAACTAGGGTGACCACTCTACTCCTATCTTGAGAAAGTATAGAAGATAATCTAATAATAAAACATTGAGCCTTGTGGCTAACTCTTCTTCACTGGGCGATTGGTGCCACCTACATACACAGCACCAGTTTATGTGTCCAGCTGTGCCTCTTCTGGTTGTATTTCCCCAGCTCCAACCTCAATGATGTTTTTTCCAGTAACTTTTTAAGTTATTAATACACCACCCAGGATGACAGGGGCCACAATTATTGCAGCATAACCAAAGCCAACCATGCTGATGCCATCTCCAACCTTTCCCTCTTGGAACTGAGCCTGGAGTGATTGCCACTCTTTAAAGATGGTGGATACACCAAACAGGACACTACCCTTGATTTACAGTCTCTGATGGTCCGCTTGGTCAAGCAACGGATGACTCCCTGGTCCAGGTTGCTCTAGAAGGAAAACAAAAATGACATGGTTCTGGGATTCCCTTCAGCCTTTGTAAGCTTGAATGGTCCTGGTTTCAATCTCCAAGGTAGGACTGACAGAGTCCTGCAGGGCTGATTGTGGTCCATCTAACTGATATTTGGGCAGCCATTTAACATAAGAGTGGTGAATCTAGTTATCCTTTTCTGCAACCCTTACAGCAAAGTAAGAAGTTAATAACACAGTATACGGACCCGCCCATTTAGGGTCTAACTGTCTTGCAAAAGTGGACTTTTGTCATTACTGCATCTCCAGACTGGATGTTATGTACTTGCATTCCAGCTGGTACAGGTTGAAACCATCTGGCTTGTGCCCTATTTTCTTGTAGATGTTTTTGTATCCTCAATGCAAATTTTGTAACTTGTTCATCTCCATCCAAGAGGCTGGTCCTAGCAGGGACAAAGGTCCCAGGTACAGCTAAGTGTCTGCCAAACATTATTTCTGCTGGTGACAATCCTAGAGGTTGGCAAGGGGTATTTCTAATATCCCATAGCACTATTCCTAAAACTTCAGGCCATTTCAAACCTGCCTGACTACAAGTTCGAGCAATTTTATGTTTGAGAGTCCTGTTCATTCTTTCTTGGTAAAATGGGTTTTCCCCCAATAGTCCAAATTCCAGTTTCATCTTTCACAGCCTCCTGACTTTCCCACTGAGCCTGTTCTTCCTGAGTAACCTCTGCATATATTTGGGCTGGATTATTGATCTCTGGCCAGTGATCAGCAGAGGGAGTTGTTATGGCGGCACATTCATGTATAGGTTGGTGGGCAGCTGCTTTAGCTGCTAATTCATTATTTCTTTCAATTTTGCTGGATCCTTTGGTATGAGCTGGACAGTGTACTACAGCGATATCCCTTGGAAGCTTAATAGCTTCCAAGAGCACTCGGATTTCAGTTGCATTAGAAATAGAGGTAAGGAACCCTTGTTCTTTCTATAGCGTACCTGTTGCATGACACACTCCAAAAGCATATTTAGAATCAGTATAAATAGTTACTGATTATGTCCCCACCAGGTTGCTTTTGCTAATGCAGTTAATTCAACCCCTTGGGCACTCATTGAGGGTTGTAGAGGTTCTGCTTCAAGTACCTCTTAAGTTCCTCATCACCCTCATCACTGCATAACCCGTGTGTCATTTTCCGTTCACATAGTATGAAGATCCATTGGTGAAGAGGGGTAGATGTGAATTCTTCAGAGGCTGACCCTGCAGATCTTCCCATAGGCAACTGGAGTGAAACGCCACCTTAGCACAGTCGTGATGCGGCTCACCATCAGAGGGAACAGGCAGCAAAGTTGCTGGATTCAAAATATTACATCCTTTAAAAGTGATATTATCTGCATTTAAAATCAGTAATTCATAGCAATGCGCTCTTGGTGGGGACAGCGCTTGCGTAGCGTGTTGCTCAAGAATCAGTTCTGTGTCATGTGGGGGACACACGCTTGTCGGGTGACCCAGGACTAATGGTCTGTGCTTCCTGTGGCAGTCGCTGTTGCTGCTTTTGCTTTAACACAGGGCTTACTCCCCGCCGTGACGGGATCCAGTTGAGTCGAGTAATATGCCACGGGGCGGCGGTGTGGACCTAGCTTTTGAGTAAGGACTCCGCTGGCTGCTCCTTTGTTCTCATGCACAAATAGTTCAAAGGGCTTGGAGTAATCTGGCAATCCCAGTGCCGGAGCAGAAGCTAAAGCTCCTTTTATAGCTTGGAAAGCCTCTTCT